AGCGCGTTGCGGGGGCCCCCGTTCCCTGTTCGACTCTTTACCAGGGTTTGCATTCTCTTCGGAGCAGCGGGAGCTCGGTGCCTGCCTCGTCTGGAGCTCTTAGCTGCTGCTGCTGCTGCTGCTGCTGCTGCTGCTGCTACGACCGCGAAGCAGCAGCGCAGCAGCAAGAGACGAGAACGTAACGGGTTCAGAGGGCCGTGAATTTGTAGGGGCAGTTGCTGCTGCTGCTGCTGCTGCTGCGGTTGCTGCTGCAGAACTGTGTGGCTACTGCAATCGTCGCTATTGCTGCTGCTGCTGCTGCAGCACGAGACGCCGCAGCAGCAGCAGCTTTGTTATCCCCCTTATTAGTGTGGCTCAGACTACTCCCACTAGGGAACCTATGCAAGCGGCAGCAGCAGCAGCAGCATAAGCAGCAGCCCAAGCAGCAGCACAAACAGCAGCAGTAGTGGCAGCAGCTGCAGCAGCAGCAGCAACAGCAGCAACAGCGGCAGCATTGGGCTCCCTGGCGATCAGTCACAGGGTCTGTAGCCGCTGCATGCGCATTTTATTCGCCAGCAGCTGCAGCAGCTTAATCAGCAGCAGCAGCAACTTAGCAGCAGCAGCAGCAGCAGCTTAATCAGCAGCAGCAGCAGCTTGATCAGCAGCAGCAGCAGCAGCAGCAGCTTGATAATAATCAGCAACAGCAGCAAGAGCAGCAGGAGGAGCAGGAGGAGGAGGAGCAGCAGGAGCAGCATTGAGGATGAGGGTGCATCTATCGTCGGACGAAGTAAATGTGCTGCTGCAGCGGTATCTACTTGAGAACGGTTATATACACTCAGCGTTCGCTTTTCAGGCAGAAGCAAACATACAAAGAAACCCTTTCTGGGTGTCTCATCAAGAGAAGCTGCCGCCAAATGCTTTAATATCTTTCTTACAGAAGGCTTTGTTATTTATTTATCTTGAGTATCATACAGATGTAGAGACAGGAGACAGAGTGCAATGCGAAGAACCCTTTAGCTTATTTAGGAGACATGAGTGCTGGTATAGAGGAGACAGTGCAGATCCCCCGCCTGCTGCTGCTGCTGCTGCTGAAGTTGCTGCTGCTACCGCTGCTGCTGCTGCTGCTGCTGCAGCAGCAGCGGCTACGC